TCGGATTCTGGGCTACTTTCGATGTATGTAGCAAAATGCTTGACTTTTTTTCTTTCAGTGTTTCAGGCAGTGACCTAACAATGTTTATTTGTGCCTGGGAATGTTGAGGGCCCACCCAGGCTAGGTTTCAAAACTGTATGTAAGAAAAAACAGGAGGTTGGTTCCATCACAACAGTTTACAACTATTTCGTCTCATGACAGAAAAACGGAGGGAATAGGGGAAGACCCTACGATGCTAATTTGAATATATTTACCGATATATCACCCTCCCATGAGACAATGCCAATGAGAACGAATAACCCATTCCTCTAAGAAAACTTTACATTTTTCAAAAATAGACAAAAATAGGCATGCTCGAATTTTTTTTTTTGCAAGAGACAATAACAGCCTGTACCAGAACCAGGCATAGTTACTCACGCCTGTAATCCCAGCCTGCACCAGAACCAGGCATAGTTACTCACGCCTGTAATTCCAGCCTGCACCAGAACCAGGCAGTTACTCACCCCTGTAATCCCAGCTGCATGGGACAAGTAGGTAGGAGGATGGCTGTCTGAGGCCAAAAGAAACCCTATGTAAAAACTAACAAGTAAAAAAGATCTGAGAATAGCTTAAGTGGTATTATGCTTGTCTAGCAAGATTCGGGGATCAAATTTCAGAGCATGTGTGCATGAGTGCACATACACACACACACAGATAAAATATGAACAAAGGCTAATAACTTACAGAAGCATTACCATTGGATGTATTATTCTTCAGTATTGGAAATACCTACTGAGTAGCAAATTGCAGGTCACTAGAGGGTCCTATACACTAGGGTATACACAGGTGATCAGAATGAGTATTAAGGATTCCTTAGTATAATACTCTTCTTGCTTTCCCTTAAAAATAGCCTATTTTTAAAGCTCCTAATATTGACTTAATATATCCTTATTTAGGCTGCTGTCTACACCACTCCATTGTTTCTGTGCCCAGATAATAGTAACTCCTTTTTAATGGTGATGGCAGGGTGATAGTGTCAACGTTTATGAAGGCAGCATTAATTCTGGCCAGTTGTAGTTCTCTTTGGTTGTGATTATAAAGTTTGGGAGATAAGACTAAATCTGCCTGGTCCCAGGAATCTGAATCTCCTTTTAGCCATGCTACAATTGTGTTTGTCTCTGCCTAGTATTGGCTGGACCAAGACTTATCTTGATCAGCAGTCTTGCTAGAAAATTCACTGGCAATTCACTATGCAGTAACCTGCCTTTAAAAATATAATGAAAATCCAGGTTAGCTGTTGTTTTAGGAATATCTATGGTCATCTATACCATAGACAAGACTATGCATAATTCATCTATCCCCTGGATCCATGCCCAAGAAATTTCATAAGTGAGCTAGGCCTGATAATATAATAACGTTAATATATGTCGGCTTACCTGCTCAAATCCTGAAATTAAAAGTATGTATATGCTATTAATAAGCATGCTGTAATTTAGTTTAATAGGTACATTACTATGTCTTTATGTTGCTTGAGCCTTTAATAATTCTTGACTGCACAATCAATATTACCTTGACATTAGTTAGAAAATGCAAGCTTACAACAAGTTGTGAAGTGTTTGTATGATTGATCATTAATTTAAATAACTATAACAATAAGATATAACAATAAGATGTTCTACAGGACAAATCTAAGTTATGAGGGAGGAATAGTATTTTTATGCCCATAAATGAAAAACATATCTCTAAAATTTCAGGTGTAGGGCCTTGATTACTATAGAAAAAATAGAGAATTTGTTTATTAATATTTCAAAGAAGAAAGGTATTTTGCTTGTTATAATTGATATTTCATGCAAAAGTTAAGAGTATGTTTTACATGGTCTGGATTTAGCCAGTTGCCTATCCAAAATTAGTTATTAATCACTATTCCATGAGAAAATCTAGTTTTAATGTTAGTTATAAAACGGACTGCATTTTATTATTATATACTATTACATTAGATATATTATTATATTATTAATTTAAAAACAAAGTGCAAATAAAGTGAACACAGTGGTCTAGAGAGGAGGAATGAGCATTGTTCATCTACCCAGACATTGAACAACAAATATATCTTTGGCTTGAAGATGGAAACATTTTCAAGATTTAAAAAAACTTTGGGGCTCAATAAACAAATAAATACAGATTTGGGAGAATCTTGTAGGAAAAGATTGGGTCTGAATTTTGTTTTAAATGTAACCAATTAAGAACTTCAGTGGGCAAAACTTCATGGTATAACCCGTTTTCACTGTATTTGATTCTGGTGCTCTACATCTTGTATGTATTTTTCTAATTTGGGGAGGGGAAGGGAAATAACAAAATGCTGAAATAAGGGTACAGGTTGACCCATTATAACAATGAGATGTACAAGACACTATGCTAAAAATGAACTTTTCAACTTGGGAGGGGGGAGAAGGGAAGGGATGGTAGGAGAAAAATAAAGGAGTGGGTAACAATGGTCAATAGAAAATGTACTCATTACCTTACTCATGTAACTGTAATCTCGCTGTACAGTATCTTTACAATAAAAAATATATTAAAAAATAATGAAAGGTTCATGGAATAAACCAAAGATGCCACCAAACAAACATCCAGAAAGCTACTGGGGTCCCAATCCAACAGCTTGGTAGTAAATAAAGAAGAAATAGACCTTTCAAGGCCCCACATTGTATCCCAGACCAGTATTCTGACTACAGCTACAGCAGAGAAACGAGATTCAGTCAAGCAGAATACCTGAAGTTAATATATGTGTTAAGTCAGTTTGTGGTAATATTATTCAGAAAGATAATTGTATTTAGAATTCTTGATTTTTTTGTTCTAGTCTTAGCCAAATTTGAGTTTGGCTAAACATCTGTAAACCTGTTGTGACAATTTTAGATTTTCCTATTATGTACTGAAATTTTCATTTATTTCCTGAACACAGCAGTAATGCTGAAAATCTCAACAGTTCCATTAAGATTAATATATAACTGCATACATACATTTATACACATATGTATAACACATCCATATACACATTTGTCTACATCTATATACTTAGGGACTTCTGGATATCAACATAATTTTCAAAAAATATCCTGAGTATATATTTAAACTCAAATATTAGGCTGGGATGTGGCTCAACTGGTTCAGCTGAATTCAAACCCATTATATCACATTAAAAAAAACTAGACAACAAATTTATGATCATAAAAATAATGGGTTTTTTTGTTGTTCTGTTTTTGCAGTACTTAGGTTTAAACTTAAGGCCTCACTTCACTTGCTAAATAGGCCGTCTACTGTTTGAGCTACACCTTTAGTCCTTTTGACTGTTGAAGTCTCACTTTCTGCCAGGGCAAGCTTGGACAATTCTCCATTACTTCTCAGTTTGATCATACTTGCTCATTTTCAAGTAAGATAGGACTCACAATTTTTTTTTTTTTGCCTCAGATGACTCAAACAGGATTACAGAAGTGAGTCACCATGCCAAGGTGTCTTTGTTTTTAAAACTGGTTGACACACAAGTTCCTGCTAAGACAAGGACTAGGACAAAAATTCAGGTGAAATATACTAAGTAATATAAAGCTATAAACTGTCCGATGTATTAGGCTACAGAGGAGTTAAAGGCTGTCGATGTCAATAAGTAATTTCAAGGGAACTCAGATTAAACTGGACATAGACACTTCATAAATACCAGTTGCAAAATTCTTCAATTAAATGATTTAATTAAATTGGCCTTTTATAAAATAAACCTTTCATTCAACATCAGCCATTATTAAAATCTATAAAAAGAATATAATTACAAAGGAAAAAATCAACTGGTAATTGGAACAAAGAGAAATGTATGATGATCTACATAAAGAAAACTAACCTTAAACTTTGCTGAGATATAAAGTTAATGAGGCTACAAGATATCAAACTACTGATTCTAGGCACTTGGAATGGACTCCCTCTATGTTCACTTGCTCAAATGGGGCTTGAATCCAGAGCCTCACATTTATGCAAGTCCCTTGTTTACATTTTCTTTTTGAGATAGGGTCTCACTAATTTTTCCAGAGCTGGCCACAAATTCTCCATCTATCCTCCCTCTCTGCCTGTCAAATTAGCTACCATTACAGTGTGTTGCACCTGGCTGCCTAGACCTCAGCACATCACATGTCTCATCATTCATGAGCAAAGAAACAGAGGTCCCATGGTTTCCCTTATTTGCAATAACTAGTATATATCTGAGACAAGCAGAAACAGTCAGATGAGTTGATATTAGGTGAAATGAACCCCAAGATAAGGACTCAAATGGTTTTTCTGTCTTGCGATTGTTTCTAACACATTTATAAGATGATTTCTTTGTTGCTTTGTATGTCCCTCCTCCACGGTATAACCCCTGCTTTCACTGTATTTGATGTTGGTATAATTTAGGGAGGGGAAGGGAAAAAACAAATTATTTCAACAGAGATACAGTAGGGGGTGGAGATGGGAGGGCAGGGATGGTAAGGGGAAACAAAGGAGGAGGCAATAATGCTTGATAAGAAATGTACTCATTGCCCTGCTCATGTAATTGTAACCCCTCTGTACAGTATTTTTGCAATAAAAAAACTCATTAATAAAAAAGTACAAGACTCATTATTCGATTAATACTTTTCTAGTTTTCTTCCTTTTTTAAACCAAATGAGAGACTCTTATAAAAGCTACTATATTTAAAAATTACTAGTCATTTTTGAAGGGTTTTGAGTAGCACTCTGAAATTGTAATGTTATTTTAAAAAGGAAAAAAACAATAAAACATGTATTTTCTCAAGTATTTAATTATTCACTGTTTTTTGTGTTATATTACTTTTAAAATCACAATTAATAGTAAGGTATAAAGGACAGCCCAATAGTCCTATCAGCCATACAAAACCAAAATTCTTTTTAAATCAACATACTATATTTAAAATTAAGTCCTGCAGAGATGAATAGAATCAAAGTTCTAATCACGGCTTAGCAAAAGAAATAGTTATTAAAAACATGTGTTTAATAAGTGGCAGAATTTTTTTTATTTCTTCAATGAAATTTAAATATTCTCAGAGTCCTGCATCAAGTGTTTTCTCTTCATTCACCAAAAGCTGTGATCTACCTTCTTTAGGTTTATTCAGTAAAAACTGAACAATCTGAAGTAAAACGTCATCATTAAAACCTTTCACGTCATTATCTTCAATTGTCTCATAGAGAGGCTCACTTTGTGTTCCCCAACAGATATTCTTACGAGGGTTATCTTGATCAGCCTGTACAGTCAGTGCCAAGGTATTTAACTGGTAGCAGAAAAAGGAAAAATACTTTCCATCTGTAATCACACCCTGGGACACAAAGGGTCGAGTAAGGTCTGCTTCGCTCCAGAATCCTATAGAAGAAAGTACGGTGAAATTTAGACACATGATATACTTTATCCAAACATAGCAAACAGATTAGGTAATAAACATTTCCTGATATTTTACCCAGAAAATTCCTAAAGAACTCAGGTTCCCTGTCTTCTTCATTCTACTCCTAAATTTCATTTCTGCAGTATTTCTACCTTTTCAGTTTCTCTAATTTCAGTCTTCAAATTGAACTACTTATTCTTCTATATCTGATATTAACTTCACCAACTTCAAATACGTCAAATTCCTCTATCTCATCAGAATCCACCACTCAGTAACCAGTAGGGTCACTTATTTCACCAAATCCACAAAACAAATGCCTTCTGAAAAACTCTTCTATGGATTTCAACATGTTAGCTTTAAATAAATTCAGTATCTTTCTTTGCATATTTCAAAACTTGTTTTTAAGAATTGTCATTTTACCTATGTGTCTTATGTCATAAAGTTCAAGAATATTTTAGTATGTTCAGTACAAAAAATTCCTGTTTTTGTTCCAGACTAAATAGATATAGGACTTTTAAATACTACCAGACAAGCAGAAACTTTGCTTCTCTAGAGAGATTTTGTATTTTATATCATATATAATGAGTCAGACATTAATATTAGCTATTTTATATATTATATATCAATAATATATTAACATGTCAACATACTGTTATTAATGTGCTGATCTATTCATATAAACATGACACATTATTAGTTATTTTTAATATATATACTTTTAATATTGTTAAAATACAAGACTAATACCACTATAAAGAAAAATACCTTATCTCTAATGAATAAATAGTGCCATCTTTGTATCGTCAACAAGATTACATCCTGCTTTTTCTAAGTCTGTCTACCTGCTTCCCACCTCCTCCATTCATCTGTATTTGGCAAGGTTAACACATATACATATAATACAATAGTGTGTGTGTGACAGTGTGGACAGACAATACTAGTAATAACTAAAATTCTTCCTGGATATTTATATAGAATTTATTGAGTTCATATTCTATTTCTTCAGGTTTTAGAATGAAGCCCAAATAACTTCCAGTGGTCTTTAATGGTCCTGGTGTATGATGAGGATTGTAAATTGGTTGAATCCTTGGTTTCAAACTGGAGCAAAATGACTGGGTAAATAAATGGAGGAAGGAAGGAATAAATACCCTATGTGACTATAGCCTCTGGCTTCTGTATCTCATTCTTCATCATTCTCCTTCACTTCTTTGAATCAGCCATCCTTCAAGCTGTTTCTCAATACTTCAACAGACTTTTCTTTTATCTGGAAATTTCTTGCCCCAGATTATGCAGATATTTCTGCACTTTATAGGTCTCTAATCAGAAGTCTTCTTAATGACTCTAATCAATTCTGACTCATATCTCAATTATACCTTCCACCTATAAATCATCATTTCTTATGCTATTTTCTCCATACAAAAGCTCCAGAACAGCTAAATTATTCCATCATTTTAGCACTATCTCCTAAGCCACTAGTGGCTGGCATATGAAAAGCATTCACTATATACTGACTGCATGGCTAATTTCCTAATCCAAATCCCAAACATGGTCTGTAAAGAAACTTTAGTATAGCCATGATCCCACCTCCTCCCTAGAGTGAGGTCTGAAGTCAGAGTCTTGCAATTACTACATTGGCATTCTACCATTTCGGCCATATCTGCTGTTTGATTTAATCTAAATATTTACTCTACCAAATTATTTCATTTTTGCCATTAGAGAGTTATTATCATCTACAGAAGTCTCTCAGTTAAGTCTTTAAAATGCTTGTAAACCTTATCAGACAAAAAACATTCACGAGATAGTCAAAATAAAGGTCAAAATAACTACCCAAGCAATATTTCCTAATTTCAAATATTTAATTACAGATTTCAAAACAACTATTTTGTATCAATGCCAAAATTTTCAAAATGCTAAGATACAGCCTACCTCCATCCCCAACTCTCCCCCGACAAAACAAATCTGAATACATTCTTTGAATAGCATTGATATTGTCCAAGAAAGAAAACACCACAGAATTAGTTTTACCTTGATACATAGCTTGAGCTCCAGTCCAAGCAAAAAGACTCGCTATAGCATTAGCTCTACATACAGTTTCTATTTGGTCAGCACGGTTTAGTTTCAAAAGCCTTTCCCGCTTTAATTTGTCAGGTAATAGATGAAATTGGGTATGACCATAACAATATGGATCAGCTATTTTTGAGCCTGAAGAACAAAAGAACATTTTCAGATGAAATGAGAATTCCGAATATGTGAAGCACACGTCTTAGGAGACAGGTCAAGTACATGTTTCTTCTCAGTTCATCATATACTCAGTACTCAAGTAAATGGGAATATTAGTTGACAAAGTTTTAGCTACTACAAATAAAGTTAGATTCCACATGAAACCATAGTTTTTCAATCTATGAGTAACTGTAAAGCCCACCATGACACAAAATAAAGTTTATATGTAAAAAGTTACTTAAAATTTGTCATTTTATATTTTTCTTGAGTATTACAGAATACTAACCTATTATAGAATAGGTTCATTACTCTGTTTTAGTCACTACAGAATTCAAACACTCTATGGCTTCAAAGTTTCTTCATTAATATAATAATACATACCATGTTTCTAATTTTTCAGAAAATTACTTTAACCCAGTATTTCTGAGGACCCTTACTTCATGAATTGTTTTTAGTAAGATTCCTTTAGGTCACTCCCTTATACCACAGTGAATGAGAAGAGGCTGGTAAAAAATTGAAGTCTTTCTTAAGTCAACTCAGAACTAATAAATAAGCTGCATGCGAGCAGCCATGAGATATTAATGTTTTAATTCCTGATTATTGCCAAGTATAGCATACACAGGCTGCATCTGTGAAAATGTCAACCACTCTTCCAAGTTCAATGCTGAACATTTTTACTCTTGACAAAACCCAAATTACTTTTCTATATAACAAATCAACAAAGCCAAGTAAAGAATGAAATAGTGCAAGAGAAGCAAACAAATTTTTTAATAGTGAGCAGAAAGAATGTTTTTCCAATTTTTAAGGGGACTATAAAACATAAGATCACATTGCTCATAGCTTATTTGAACCAGTCACCAAGAATTAAGTTTTCATTAGTTAATGCTTCAACTTTGCATAGCACATTTTGAACTCATCTATGGCAAATATGTGAAGAAAAACTTACCAATAAATATGCCGTTTTCATACTGCCGTTTAAACAATGGAAGCTTGTCTGGTTTACAATTCATTACAGGGATTTCTACAGGAATAGAATAATCCAATGGTACAAACTTAAAGACAAAGAAAAGACATAAATAAACTCATGGCCACATTTGTATCTATTTTACTCATTTTGTATCTATTTTACTCATTCTTATTAAAAAAAATGTTAAATGAGGTGCTTTTCACAAAATTATCTGATCAGACAAGTTGAGGATACCTTAATCAAAATGTTAGAGGCTAGAAGTGCTTCAGAGTATTAGGTCTGACAACAGTTGTCCCTCACTATACCACAGTTCACTTATTGTGGTTCCACTGTATAGCTGAATTTCTAATAAAACAAAATACACAAATAGTGATCCCTCACTTACTGTGGGAGTTATATTCCAGAGATCTCCTCTATAAGTGAAAATCCATGAAGGAGCAATAAGTGAACCATGATATAGTGGGTTAATATCTAGTAATGGGACAAATATCAACTGACTACTTTTACAAATAAAGCTTTATTGGAACACAACCACACACATTCATTTATATATTCTATACTGCTGCTTTTACACAGTAAAACCAGAACTTAATACTGTGCAACAGAGACTTTATGGTTTGAATAGCCTATAAAGTATTTACTACTCAGACCGTTAAGGAACAAGTTCAGCACACTAAAATGGAAGTATGAATTATATTCAAAATATGCTGTTTTCCTCTAAAAGTACTATAACTCAGTCCATAACTGTAAAAATCCTTTGATTTATGACTAGCAATTATACTGTTAATTAAAATCAGAAACTATTATCAGTATATTATCAGTATATTAATAAGAAAAAGAAAAAGAAAACCTGTATGGGTCTGAAAACTGATGCCTTAATCTCACTTTACATAAATATTTGACCTCTGTAGATCAGAAAGCTAAAAGGGATTTTCAAATGAGCTATCTTCATAAGAAGCATGTAAAAATCAAAGGATGACCCAAAGCATTTTATTTTATCCCATCATCTTACTTGGTCTGCTTATGACATTCAATAGATACAAATATAATCAACCCTTACCTCTGGGAGTTGCTTGGATATCCGAATCTGGTTGTGTGGTGTATCATTTATTTGGTATCGTAAAGCATCAATCCGACCTTTTCGATGACCAGCAGGGATAATTTCTTCACCACGCACCCAGTAAAAGTGAACTGGGTGTTTATAATCTATCAAAAGATATTCAAGATGTTCTCATCTAATCATTTGGACAAATTTGATTATTACAGAATACTAACAACAGTAGACAATTTAAAAATGATTTTTTCTAATTTTAAAAAATATATTCAAATATTCCAATGTATGGTAGTATCTAGGTTATGTAATAATCTGACAATTAAGGTTTAAACAAAGCACTCAACATACTGTTTATTTGTCTCATCAACACCCTAATCAATAATTAAAAGCTATTCAGCTAAAAATAATTGCAATAATCTCGACTAATATATACATTATTAACTGGCACAAAATATGCATAATAACATATTTTATAAATAAGGGGACCCTGGGTCTTGCCAAACACCAGGTCTTATTTCTAAACCACCAACCATCCATGCAGTCAAAGTTCACCTCACTTGCCTCAATACCACTACTTTTTGATTCAGTTGAATACTCATCCATCTAGTTATAACATTAATCACCACTGGTCAGGAGACACATGATATATTAATAGTTTTCATGTCTACCGTGCAAATTTGGGTAGAAGTTGCTTATCGCTGACCCTCAAACACACCAAGTACACGGTCTTAGAATTAAAGGTGGTGTGCCTTCTTTTTTTCATTTATAAAATCATGTAATCGTTCTGCCTGCTGTAAATGGTTATTGTGAGAATTAATTAGTGGACGCGCAGCAAATTCAGAACAAGACCTGGCACATAATACTATGGATGAAAGGTTGGGTATTCGACCTAGCAGCTCATTTACACCTTGGCAATTTTATAACTGAACGCTATAACCAACATGTACGTTGTGTGTGACACAGAGTCACACAGCTTTTCAGGAGACAGGCAACCCAGTTCAGCGCCATCCAGAACCTTGTCTCTAAACTCCTCTTCCACTGTCTTGTCTGATTATTTTACACTACAGAGGCACGGGCTGCAGGCCAGAGGAGGCTGTACAGAGAGCCTCCAGTGGAGAGTGGAACAACTTAACTACCAGCAGCTAGTCTCCCCCCCCCCATCCCTGACTCAGTGAGAACGAGTACACCAGACCCCCAATCTGCGGCCAGCCAAGGGACCAGGACGAGGAGGAGCAGCAGCAGGTCGGGCCCATAGCCCCGGGTCTCGGCGTCCCGAGGCTCACCGAGGGCGGCGGTGGCCAGAGCCGGGTTGAGTGGGCTGAGCAGGGTGGCGAGGGTGGCCACCAGCTGGTCCAGGAAGGGCGAGGCGATGGCCTGGCGCTCCTGGAAGAGCGGCGGGCGGCGCGGGCGCCGCAGGTAGAAGTGCTCCTGCAGCAGGCAGTCGCAGGCCGCGGCGCGCAGGGCCGCGAGGTCCGGCGTCGGCGCGGGTTCGGATCCCGCGGAGGGAGGAGGAGGAGGAGGAGGCAGGCCCGACAGGAACACGGTCTTGGTGAAGCCCTGGTACCAGCGGTCGGCGTTCAGGGCGAAGGTCTGCGGGTACACCACGTACTTCATGAACTGCATCTTGGTGAGGATGCGCAGCTTCTCCTCGGCGGACGGGGCCGCGTGCACCGCCGCCTGCCAGCGCTCCACCCGCCGCTGCCGCGCGGCCTTGCTCTTCGCCGTCAGGGAGGCCACGATCGGCGGGTACCGTGCCACGGAGGTGGCCGCGACAGCCGAGCCGCTTGGCTCCGCCGCCGCGGCGGTGGCCCTCGCCGCGGTGTGCAGTGACAGTCCGCGGCCGCGGGACACCAGGCTCCAGCCCCTGGCCGCCGCCATCTTCGCCCACGGTTCCGGAAGCGGAGGTCAAAGTCAGCGCTTGTCCCGGCCCTGTTGCCGTAGCGACCAATGGGAAAGCAGAATCCGAGCCGGGCTCGCGGACGGTGGTTCTTACTGGGCTTGGGTTGCAGTACGTCATTCACTTTTCAACCAATCATCTTGTTGGCTGAAGTTTTCGCTCTGTTTTGAGAGTTAGTAGGGAGACCCAGCTTAGTGTTGATTTAACCGCTGGGCTGGTGGTGAAGAGTCGAAACTGCGAAAAGGAGGTGCTGCCACCTAGATTGCGTTTAGAACTGGACAGTAACCATTTAGGAAGTGTCCTTAATGGACACTCCAAGCCCTTAGTTAGACTTTCTATTCTTATTTGAGTATGACATACCACTTATTTTCAGCTTTGGTTTTAGGAGTAGAAACTCCTAAAACAGGTATTTTGGAAAATACGTGTTTAAGATACACTGACTAATTTAAAAAACATTATGGAGGCATTACTTAAGTGTGACCATTGCTTTATTGGGAAAATAATTACACACACACACACACACATATATATATATATATATATATTCCTCTAGGCTATTACAAATTTGCGCATCTTTATAGTTTATTTAAAAAGAGGAATGTATTTTTATTTGGGTTTACCTGGGGAAAAAGAAGTTGACTAACACAATATATGAATAAAAAAATGGTCATTATGTAACCAATTTGTGTCTTAATTAGAAAACTCGGAGTGTGGCAGTTGCGCTAATTACAAAGGCAAGCCTCACTAAGAGGCTTTTTGATGCATAATACCACAAATAAACAATGGGGTCCAGGGGGGAAAAAAAACAATTCATTTTCTAACATTTCTATTCTTCTTGAAAATTTAGATTTTAATCCAATCAATCTGTTTCAGTGATCCTTTTTTTAAAAAATGAAAAATAATTAGATTTTACAAAGAAATACCACAACCAGATTTTGTGTTATAGGAATTTATTAGAAAAACTTCAATTATTGTATAACTGGAAGTATTTAGTACATGCATACTATACATTTATTTGGATTTGGCTTTGAATTGAGCGATGGATGTTGACATATAAATATCAACATGATTAATGTCTCAGTAATTAATATTGTAAAACAAAATAATCACAATGGGTTGAAGTGTAACTATAAATAATTTTAGTGAATTGTGTGTAGCCCAAGAATTTCCTAAGATAGTTAATTGGTGTCAGACTTAGCTTTCTTTTTTTGTTTTGTTTTGTTTTTTGTTTTTTGTGGGTCGTGGGGCTTGAACCGCGATCCTCAGCTCAGCCTCCTGAAAACCCAGTATTACAGGCGTGAGCCACTGGCGCCCGTCTAGACTTAGCTTTAATACATATTTTGGAAATACAAGTAAAATGAGCCTTTCAGCTATTATTTTATGCCTGGTTACTATGACCATATTGCTTCTAACTAGTAGCATAATGATGCATCACAACAGTAATATTGATTTACATAGCTCCATTCTCATTTTTGTTTTATATCCTCAGCTATTTCCTCCTTTGTTAAGGTACAATTCAGGACACATTGCTTATCTTATAGCAGTAATCATAGAGATTCACTTTCACTTAAATAACAGCCACATGTTGACCAATTTTCTGTGTTATATTATTTTTGTACTCTGTTAAAGAAATCTTAATAGACCCCCAAAGCTCCTATTTCTCTATTTGAATTGACTGTACTTCCTCAAGTACATTTCCTGATTTTAAAAGTAATTTTGTATCTTAATGCATATCCTATAAACTTGCCTTTCTTCCCCCAGTTATTTTCTAGTAGAATGTCATTAAGCGTTTCACAAATGAACTTTGAAAAGAGCCACAAAGGCACTGTGGGCCCTATTTTATTGAGGGCGTATTAATCCACTTACTACTATTTTAAAAAATGTTACTTGTCAGATATTTTTCTAGAGAGTAAATACTGGTTAAAACAGTAGGGAATTACATATTTGAGAAAGAGGATAGGAATAAGATCTACCCTTTGTATTTCCCTTATTACTGTTCTTCTCATTGTAATTCAGTTAGAGACAGATTAGAAAAGGACAGAAAATGTGCAATAAATATTCAGGTTGACATTCTTAAAACTTGTTATGTATTCAATTCTGTCTCCTTGGAAGACCATATTTTTGGAAGCCAATGACCTTCCTCTTCCTCTTTCCCTCTACCTGTAAGAGCCTTAATCACATTCGGACATTTACCTTCTGATATGACACCTGTTAAAAAGTACTTTCCTTAGTCTATGTGGGTAGGTCATCATCAGCCTTGGCTAATTATGCTAATTACTAGCTGTCTGTCAAGGATGTCTAAGGAATGCATACCACCCAAACATGGACAACAAGAGTTAGGAGAGAATTATTTTTGGGGCTCCTGGAGCTTTATTTTTTTTTTGCTAAAGTAGATACCTATCATTGCCTTTTGTTGTTGTTTTTACCAAATTATTATGTCTTCAGGTATCTTCATACTTGAAATAGTTTCAACCCTTTACCACTAAGAGTTGAAACACCACAGAAATGATACCTATGTAATCCTTTCTGTATGTCATTTTCCTTCTGCATAATTAAGGGATTGTGCAATAAAGGGGTTTACCTCACCGTGTCTGAATGTGAATCCAGGCATATTCTAAAACAACAATTGGCTTTGGGGATCCCGGGAGATAAATTTAAAATCCCTGGAATCGCCTACAATAACCTGGTATACCTGGTGACACTGAGACACTCATGATCAGTTTGGCTTCTGGTGTGGTAAGGGACTGGATAACTAAATCAATAAAGTAGGCATACCATAACTACATTACTGACTCCAAATAAAACCCTGGTCAGGTGAGCTCCCTGCTTGGCATACCTCTGCATTCATTGCTAGAAAAATGAGGCATTGTCCATGTAATTCCAGTGGGGAGATAATTGGGAAATTGCATTTGTTTTTTTCCTGCACTCTATATGTAACTTTCTCTTGTTGGTATTGATATTCATCATTTAACTATAGCAACTCATAACAAATATCACGTGTATATGTGTGTGTGTGTGTGTGTGTGAGAGAGAGAGAGAGAGAGAGAGAGAGAGAGAGAGAGATTTGGATAACTTATTGCTTATCTGGATGAAAGGTTGGTCTAGTAAAGACTTGGCAGCTCTTTTGAACTATTAACTCAAATTGTGTTTCCATGAAGCTAACCCTAAGATGAATTTTTGTGAACTTATGTCTTACATGAACCATGACAGCTATAGTCCCTTCTCTTTAAAGTCAGTAAAACTCAAATTCAGTACTTTATATTTGTCCCATCCATTGCCATCTTATCCAGATCACACAACTCTAGATTCTGAAGATTCTTTTCAGGTCCTAATTGTGTAACCTTTATTCATGTTACTATTCCTTCATCAATTTGACCAGTGCCTGCATACGAAATGGCATCTTTCTCTTCATATCTTTATAAATTTCCCCTAAATTTTAGGAAAGTAGGAATCAAGTGTGCCGTGTTTAAAGCTATCTTCCTTGTACTAGATGAATGTGAATGACTACATTGTTGTAAAAGAATGATGATATTTCGTTGTTGAGATTAGATTCTGTTAAAACACAAACATGGACCCTAAGAATTAATAATGCTACCCTTGGGCACTGATGTTTGCACTGTGGGTGGTCTGCTGTTTTGTCTATAACTGGAGAAGAGGATCAAACTTTGAAATAGAATGTATTGAGGTCCATATTAGACGTGGTGAAATAAGAAAGGAAAGTATTCCAGCCATGAAGAGGAGCCCGAAGAAATCAGCTCTGCTTGAAGGATAGCACAGGAATTCTAACATTTCCTGTGCCCACCCATATGCTGAACTCTTGCAAAGAAAAAGGAAGAAAGGATAACCAGGGCACACACACTGACTAAGGCAAGGTATCACTAAAGTGTAAAACATGAGGAAGCAATGTATAAAAACTTTTAGTAATCAACATTAAAATAATTTAACAAAATATTTTAAATCAAAATTAATGTCAAAATTCAGTATATTCCTTTTGTTATAGGACTAGATTTCAATGTAGTTTAGATGGTCTTAACCAAATTGTACCACAATCATTTTTGTCATTGAAATATGAATAAGCTTTAAATATGAATTATTTGAAGTACACACATATATTTCAAATGTTCCTTCAACTTACACAATTCAGTGTTCCATAACTCATACACATGGCAGTAATCTGTTATATTTAGAACATATGGCTGCATTCGATATATCAAATGACTGGCAAGTGAAGTCATCTTAGTTTTATGGAAACTTGTCTGCCATACAACATACTGGAAAAACAATGATTTTCTTCACATTATTCATTATTTTTCCTTCAGACTTGTATCAATATAACTTGGCCTAAAATATAATTTTTCCTAAAATAACTCAAGTAGTTAAAGTCTCAACTTATAAATAGACATCAAAGTGTGTATTCACAATAGGAAAGTAAATTGTTACCATCTTTCTGGAGAATATTTTGGTGATATATTTTACCCTTTCAAAATGCCTATTAATTCTAACCCTTGGCAAATAATTCATAATTCTAACAGGGTGACCCAAAATTATATATATATATATATGTACATGTATTATATATACACACATGCATATATACATACATACATATAGTGTGTATGCATATTACACACACAGAGTTACTTGTAGTCCTTCTCTTGGGAAATTTTAACTTTGTCCAGGTCAAAGGTGAGAAGTTCACTATTCACTGTCACCATAATTCACACCCAACCAACTAGCAGATATCAGTCCCTACTCTCTAATCTAAACAGACTGAAGTGCCGAGAACTATTAAAATGCGGGTGGAAGAAGTCTTTGTTTGATCTGTGAGTCTGTGTTCTTTCTCCCTCTACTGACTAGTCATCTATGTGCCCTCCCATATTCCCTTCTTCCTTCCCTTCTATGCAGTAGGCCCTCTACCATGTAAATCTAGTTAGTATTTGCTTTTGAGTTGTCACTCATCTCTTCTTCCAAATCCTCTAGG